CTTCATAAGGAAGATTTCTAATCCTAGGTATTAATTTAGTCATCCTACGTTGAATGTTTTCTAACGAATTTATGTCCATTCTGTAATATGGAGACCAGAATTGAGCTGCATAATCTAGGTGAGACCTTACTAATGATGTATAAAGCTGCAGTATGACCTCTGGACTTCTGTTGCTTACACTTCTTGATATAAATCCCAGTAATCTATTTGCCTTATTACGTACGCTTAGGCATTGCTGTCTTGGTTTAAGGTTGCTGCTCACCATAACCCCCAAGTCCTTTTCACAATCTGTATGGCTAAGTTCTACATCATTTAATTTATAAGTGCTAGGGTTATGGACACTCCCAAGCTTCAGAACCTTGCATTTACCTATATTGAACTGCATCTGCCACTTTTCTGACCAAGAATAGAGTTTATTTAAATCCTCCTGAAGTTCCCTAACATCTACGTTTGAATCAATTATCCTACCTATCTTTGTGTCATCGGCGAATTTGCTCATATCACTAGTAATTCCCTCATCAAGATCATTGATATATATTATAAACAACAACGGGCCCAAGACTGATCCTGTGGAACGCCACTTGTTACAGATCCCCACTCAGATTTAACCCCATTTATGGACACTCTCTGCTTCCAGTCAGTGAGCAATGACTCGATCCACGAGAGCACTTTTCCCCCAATGCCATGAGCTGCCACTTTCTTTAACAGTCTTTGGTGCGGAACTCTATCAAAAGCCTTTCTAAAAACTAAGTAAATAATATCAAATTCTTTATCGTGGTCAACAGCCTCAAAAGCTTTACTGAAGAAAGTTAATAAATTAGTTAGACAAGACCGGCCTCTTGTGAATCCATGCTGAGTATCATTAATCAAGCTATGCTTATCGAGATGGCTTCTTATAATCTCAGCTATAATTGACTCTAGTAATTTGCCTACAATTGAGGTCAGGCCTATTGGGCAGTAATTTGACGGTAATGACTTGTCCCCTGTTTTAAAAATAGGAATTACATTAGCCATCTTCCACATATCAGACACTACACATGTCTGAAGAGATAAATTAAAAATATTAGTTAATGGTTCACAGAGTTCCATTTTGCATTCCTTAAGAACCCTTGAAAAAACCTCATCAGGACCCAGCGATTTATTTTGCTTCAGTCGGTCTATTTGTTTCATAACCATTTCACTAGTGACTGTAATGTTACATAATTTATCTTTTTCAGGCCCATTATAAAAATTAATTACTGGGATATTGTTAGTGTCTTCCTGTGTAAAAACAGAGAGAAAATAATTATTTAAAATCGAGCACATTTCATTCTCCTTGTTACTCAGTAAGATGCCCATAGCTATTTTTAAGGGGACCTATCTTATCTCTAACTTGTGTTCTATAGACCTGGAAAAAACTTTTTGGGTTAGTTTTCGAATCCCTAGCAACCTTATTTTCATAGTCCCTTTCAGCTTTTCTTATCCCCTTTTTAATGTCCCTCTTAATGTCATTATACTGATTCATAAGATGACCCTCACCTCTTTTGATATGCCTATAAATTCCTTTCTTATGCCCTAGTAGATATTTCAGCCTATTATTCATCCCTTTTGGGTCATTTCTATTTGATCTACTTTCTTTATACGGGATAAACGTTCGAGCAGCATGTATAGTGTTCAGAAAACTGTCATATTGATAGCTCTTTTCGTTACCCCAGTCAACAGATGATAAGTGTTCTCTAAGCCCATCGTAATCTGCTAAGCGAAAATCTGGGACTGTTACTGAGTTATCCCTACTATCATACTTCCATTCAATGCTAAATGTAATTGATTTGTGGTCGCTAGCACCCAGTTCCTCTGAAATTTCTAAATTATTAACAAGGGATTCATTGTTTGCCAGAACTAAGTCAAGCAGGTTATTTCCCCTTGTAGGTTCTGTCACAAACTGCTTCAAAAAACAATCCTGAACTACTTCTAAGAAGTCGTATGATTCTAAATTCCCAGTCAAGAAATTCCAATCAATATGACTAAAGTTAAAGTCTCCTAGAATTACTACATTATCGTGCCTTGTGGCCTTAACAATTTCCTCCCATAGTAGTTTCCCTTGGTCCCTATCTAAGTTTTGGGACTGTTTATCACTCCTAAAATCAGTTTTTCATGCCCCTTTGAAAATTCCCACCCCCCTTCCCGATACTTCTATCTACTTGGAACAATTTAAAACCCTGAATGTGACATTCCGCAGGCATGTCCCGACTTTTTGAATTAAACCACGTCTCATTTAAGGCAAATACATCAATGTTACCTGCACTAGCAACTAATCTCAACTCGTCCATCTTATTCCTAGCACTACGGCTATTAGCATAATAAACATTGAAAGACTCTCCTTTCTCTTTACATTTCCTGCTAATTTCTGTTTTTCTACTAAACCTATTACTGTCCTTATCACCTAGTGTCACTGGTTTTTCAATATCTACCCCATTCTGCTTATTACTAGTTCCCCTAGAACTCACAATATTACTACACTGGGACTTCACTGTTTTCCTGCCAAAACCCATACCACTAACTATTCCTAGTTTAAAGTCCTAACAGCTCCTTCCACTGCAGTTGCCAGTGCCTCCACCCCAGACCTAGATAAGTGAACCCCATCCCTGGCATACATGTCATTTCTGCCATAGAAGAGGTCCCAGTTGTCAATGAATGTTACCACATTTTCCTTACAGTATTTGTCCAGCCAGCAATTGGCACCAATTGCCCTGGACAACCATTCATTTCCAACTCCTCTCTTTGGCAAAATACCACATATGACAGGTTTCCCACCCTTCCTCCTAATTATTTCTATTGCTGACCTATACCTGCTAATCAGGTCTTCACTCCTACATCTGCCAACATCGTTGCCTCCAGCACTGAGACAGATAATAGGATTGCTCCCATTACCTCTCATGTCATCCAGACGGCTAACAATATCCTCCATCCCAGCCCCAGGAAAGCAAACCCTCTGTCTCCTACTCCTGTCCTTCAAGCAGAACGCCCTATCCATATACCTAACTTGGCTATCCCCAACAACAACAATATTCTTACCTTCCTTGGTGTCGTTTGTCGTGACATTCCCAGTAGTCGACTCACATTCGTCGGGTATCACTGAGAATGTATTAGATGTTTCCACAACAGTTTCCACGGAAGTCTCTTTCTTCTTCATCGTTTCTACCTTTCCATTCGTCTTCTTGATCGTCAACTTCGTTCCCTGCTGTCCAGCCACTGACCAGTTTCCCTTCTTGGCCTGAGGACTCAAAACAGGAGGACTACTACGAATCTTCTTGTTTTCCTCGGTCAGTCACCGAATCTCCATCTTCGCCATCCTCAATTCTTCCTTAAGCTGTTGATAAAGTTGCTCGATGGAAGGTAACTTGCTTCAATCCGTAGAGAGCGCACAAACAGGTCTTCACAGAGCTAAGTACACGTCACCAACCCACTAACAGAACAAATGCTACCCAAGCAATAAGCTCAGGTGCAAGTCCGACTCAAATCCAGCCCCTCTCACTCATGTACGTATTTATCCAGCCTAAATTTGAAACTACCCAAGCCATAGCTTTTAGAACATAAGAAAGAAGGAACACTGCAATAGGCCTGTTGGCCCATACTAGGTCGGTCCTTCACAAATCCAACCAACTAACAGCATAACTGCTATACCCAAGCAATAAGCTTTGATAAACCTGTGATGAATGGTTTGATAAACCTATTTACTCATGTGCAAGACCAAGTCAAAGCCAACCCCTCTCACTAATGTATTTATCCAACCTAAATTTGAAACTAACCAATGTTTTAGCTTTGATCACTCTACTAGGCAGACCGTTCCACTCATCAACTACCCCTATTACCAATGTTCATTTATACATTTCATTAGTGCTCTACATTTATTTGGCATTCTTTTCTGCATGTAAATCTATATTTAAGCTAGGTAAGTGGCCCCTGAAGTGACCTAGAGTCATAAGAACATAAGAAAGGAGGAACACTGCAGCAGGCCTGTTGGCCCATACTAGGCAAGTCCTTTACAATTCATCCCACTAACAAAACATTTGCCCAACCCAATTTTCAATGCTACCCAAGAAATTGTCAGTATTATATACCATTCTTGCACAACCAAGTAATAAGCCCTGATATGCAAGTCCCACTCAAATCCAACCCCTCTCACTCATGCATTTATCCAACCTATGGAGGGGGATTCCCCTTCCAAACAATAACCTCTCTTCCCTCTCTCCTCCTCCCTGTCTTCCATTCATCAACAACAGCCTTCAATAAAGGTAACTGTCATGTTGAATGTTCATTCTTTTGTGCATGTAAATCAATCTTTAAAGTAAAAAAAAATGTTGTTGATACTTCTGGGTGTCAGGAACGGATTAATTGTATTTACATTATTTCTTATGGGGAAAATTGATTCGAAAATTGTAGATTTCAATAATAGTAGCACCTCCAGGAACGGATTAATTACAAAAAACGAGGGACCACTGTACATTTAAAGCACCCTAGAGCAATAAAATGCTTATACAGTACACTCATTACTTACCTTAACCCTTTCAGGGTTCAGAGACCAAGAATTTTAAAAAAATAATTTTGTTATTTTTTCTCATGAAATGGTAGAGAATCTTTTTCTGAAGGTAATAAAACAAAAAAGTACAAAATTTGATGGAAAACTTACAAAATTATGCTCTCGCGAATTTTTATGTGTCGGCGATATTACCTAAGAACATAAGAATAGAGGAACACTGCAGAAGGCCTACTGGCCCATGCGAGGCAGGTCCTTATCAAAATGACCTCTACCTAAAGCTACCCAAGAAATTACTCCCGTACCCAATGACACCAATCAAACCCAGCCTCTCCCACTCATATATTTGTCCAGTCTCTTCTTAAAAATTGGTCGCATTGGGAGGTGATCGTTAAGCGGGGGTCCACTGTACTTGTCTCCTTTTTCATAAGGATACCATCCTTGTAACAATAACAGTTTTCTAGTACTTTGGCCTGTTCCTCAGAAACTGCTATACTTCTACAATGATTCAAGTCTGGATCTAAAGTTTGAGCCTGAAACAGATCATTTCTTCTGAGACCTTTTCCATCGGAACACTTGGGGTTAATCAGAGCTTGGCTAGGTTTAAAGGATCCGGTTTGGATTGCATTACTAAATAGTAAATCCAAGCCCAGGTCTTTATTTTCAGATGGCCCTTCACTATCTACGGAGCGAGACAGCACGAGTAATAATGTTTAAGGGAAATAATTCTGGACCTTCGTTTGATGCTTCTAAAGCATAGTGGGTTTCAGAAAGGTTATTTATCACCATCGGTTCTTTACAAATCCCTTGGTGGTATACATCATTTCCGATCAATAGTCCAACACCCTGAATAGGGAATTCTTTACTAGATATGCCAACAGTTATCCAACCCACATAGTCGGGGATTTCCAAAAACACTTTATGCAATGGTACTTTAATTAAGGTGCCACCATAAGCCTCTAACAAGACTTCTATCTTGGTGTCAGAGTGATGATCAAGGGGCAATACGTCTGTCCTCAAAACATATTGACATTACCTAACCTTTTTTCATTGAGACCGACTTTTCCTGTAGCAAGATAAGGTTCCATGGCCTCGCGTACCTCAGTTTCAGAATGTAGTCATCTCGTCTGCTGGGTCTCTGGACGGGATGATTCCAAGTTCATTCCTACAGGCCGAGCTTTAGCTTGGACCTGGAGGAGATCACTTGAGTAGGGTATCTCCTGTAGTTTTCATAGTTCCGTTCAATTTTCTTTCTACATTGGTTTTCCAAATGTCCCGATTTGTGACAGTAATTACAAAAACCGTTGGGGAACATCTTCCTTTTTAAGACTCGAATATTTTCCATAACTGGAATTACTATCCCAGTTTGGAGAACGCGCCGTATATGCTCTTCTTTCAAACCTAGGTTCTTTCTTGGGATTTTTCCGAAAAGTCTCTTGACGTTTACTCTTACCCGTCATCTGGTGAGCTATATCATAATGGTCGGCTATTGAAGCAGTTTCTATTAGCGTTGTGGTGGAACGTCCAATAAGGTAAGTATGTAGGTCATCAGTCAAATAATTGAAGAAGTCTTCATTTAAAATTACAGTGGACCCCGGCATTCGATGGCATCGGTATACAGTGGACCCCCGCTTAATGATCACCTCCAAATGCAACCAATTATGTAAGTGTATTTATGTAAGTGCATTTGTACATGTATGTTTCGGGGTCTGAAATGGACTAATCTACTTCACAATATTCCTTATGGGAAAAAATTCGGTCAGTACTGGCACCTGAACATACTACTGGAATGAAAAAAGTTCGTTAACCGGGGGTCCACTGTACGTTAAATCCAGTATTCGATACATTTTAACACAAAAATTTTGCCTCGCCACTCGTTAAAAAACCCGCCACACGCGATTCGTCCGGGACGCATCCACTTGAGTGCCAGTGTTTACAAGCCAGCCAGTGTGCTCACATCTAAGCATACATTCAGTACATTCCACATTATCACAGTGTTTTTGGTGCTTGTTTCTGCAAAATAAGTCACCATGAGCCCCAAGAAAGCTTTTAGTGCTAACCCTGTGGTAAAAAGGGTGAGAATTAGTATGGAAATTAAGAAAGATTTTGAAGGGTTTGGGGCTAACCCTGAGAAGCCTATGCCAGTTGTGGAATCCATTGTGCCTACTGTTATAGGGCTATAGGACCCAACATGTATTTATAAGTAACAGTTACTCTGGAATACCTAATTATATTGAATTGATGGGGACTCAGTTCTAAATGTCAGAAGGTCTGATCAACCTTATGACTGAGAGGCAGCTGGGTCAAGCCTTTTTCTCAATATAATAAGTTATACTATAGACACACACACAATTTAAATAAGTAGTTTATAAAGTTGTATTTCCTTTTGTAAAAGTAAAATTAAGGTGTGGTAGAATTGTGGTAACTGGAGAATTGTGCTTGGCAACAGTCTTTTGTTTTGGTGGGAGGAGCTTAGCTAGGCTCCTCTCTCTCCCTCTCCCTTTCTCTCTCTCTTCCCTTGTTGACATGGAGGTGGCAAGATCTCTGGGTCCTTCTTTCTATCTTTTGGGGCATTATGGGTGCTCCAGGGGTGAGTTTTTATAATTTAAGTTGTGGCCACCATACCCAGGGTGACTAAAGTGTGTCAAAACACTGGTTAGCCCAGAGTTATGTCAAGAAGAGAGAAGGACAAAAGTTGTTGGGATACACCATGTGGGAGAACAGCTAAGGAGTGTGTAGATCTTTGTTTTGAAAATGTGAGGCTGTGATTGTATCTTCTGTACATATCTATTGAGAATACAGTTATATTTTTATAGTAGTAGTTTAAAATAACCTGTGAAGAGGGCTGGTGAAAGGATATCAGAGACACTCAGGATGATCAGCCATAATGTAAGTATTACCCCTAGACAGATAAGGCCATTAAGTAAAAGCTACCCCACACTAGAACATGTAGTGAGAACCTTACTATCAAAGTAATAAGGGACAACCAAACATAACACCTACTTCAAAAATTAAGGAAATGTGTGCAAAGTGGGTTGAACTGCAAACCTTTATGGATGAAAATCACCCTAAGACAGCTATTGCAAGCCGTGCTGGTGACTATTACAATGACAATGTTTTGGTAATCCCGCACCTCCTCCTAACTTCCAAATGGTTGTTATCATTGATAAATGATGCACCAGCACAAAATACATATACAGTGGACCCTCGACCAGCGATGGCATCGATTAACGATAAATCTGACTAGCGATACATTTTATCACAAAAATTTTGCCTCTATTAGCGCTAAAAAACTCGACCAACACTATTCGTTCCGTCTGAGACGCGTCCACTTCTGGCCAGTGTTTACAAGCCAGCCAGCCACTGCACTGCGGTCGCTTCCAAGCATACAATCGGAACATTTCATATTATCACAGTCTTTTTAGTGATTGCACCTGCAAAATAAGTCACCATGGGCCCAAGAAAGCTTCTAGTGCCAAAACCCTACAGCAAAAAGGGTGAGAATTACTATGGATATGAAGAAAGAGATCATTGCTAAGTATGAAAGTGGAGTGCGTGTCTCTGAGCTGGCCAGGCTGTACACAAAACCCAAATCAACCATCGCTACTATTGTGGCCAAGAAAACGGCAATCAAGGAAGCTGTTCTTGCCAAAGGTTGCAACTATTTTTTCGAAACTGAGATCGCAAGTGATAGAAGATGTTGAGAGATGTTATTGGTATGGATAAACGAAAAACAGATAGCAGGAGATAGCATCTCTCAAGCGATCATATGTGAAAAGGCTAGGAAGTTGCATGACTATTTAATTAGAAAAATGCCAGCAACTAGTGGTGATGTGAGTGAATTTAAGGCCAGCAAAGGTTGGTTTGAGAGATTTAAGAATCGTAGTGGCATACATAGTGTGATAAGGCATGGTGAGGCTGCCAGTTTGGACCAAAAAGCAGCTGAAAAATATGTGCAGGAATTCAAGGAGTACATAGACAGTGAAGGACTGAAACCTGAACAAGTGTTTAATGGTGACACTGACAATGTTGTGAAACACTTTAGGAATGTCATAAAGGAACGGGAGGTACAGGCCTCTATGAGGAGATATGTTGTGCGACAGAGGTCCAGTGACTCTCAAGCTGGTCCTAGTGGCATTAAAAGAAGAAGGGAAGTAACCCCGATAAAGGACTTGCCACCTCAAGTCCTAATGGAAGGGGATTCCCCTTCTAAACACTAAGACCATCAACACACTCCCCTCTTCCCATCCCATCAATCATCACCAGATCTTCAATAAAGGTAAGTGTCATGTAACTGTGCATGTCTTCTTCAGTTTGTATTAAAATTATTATTTCATGTGTTAAAATTTTTTTTTTTGCAATACTTTTGGGTGTCTTGCACGGATTAATTTGATTTCCATTATTTCTTATTAGGAAAATTAACTTGACTAACGATTATTTTGACTAACGATGAGCTCTCAGGAATGGATTAATAGCGTTAGTCGAGGGTCCACTATACAGTGGTCCCTCAATAATCGTCCAGCCTGAAAGTCGTCCATTTCGGAAATAGTCCTGTTTTTTCGTCTATATACAGTGGACCCTCGCATACTGTTGGCATCACATAACGTTAAATCCACATACCGATACATTTTATCACTAAAATTTTGCCTCGCATACCGCTAAAAAACTCGCTCAACGCTATCTGTCTGAGACTCTTCTAATGTGCGGCCTGAGCCAGCTTCACATGTTCCGCCGGTGGCATTGTTTACAAGCCAGCCTCTGTGGTAAAATCCAAGCATACAATCGGAACATTTCGTATTATTACAGCGTTTTTGGTGATTTCATCTGTAAAATAAGTGACCATGGGCCCCAAGAAAGCCTCTAGTGCTAACCCAGTGGTAAAAAGGGTGAGAAATACTATCATACCACAGTCAGCTGCTGCTGCACCACGGTCAGCTGTTGCTTGACCAGTCAGCTGTTGCTGGATCAGTCAGCTGCTGTTGCACCTCGATCAGCTGTTGCTGAACCAGTCAGCTGTTGCTGGATCAGTCAGCTGCTTCTGCACCATGATCAGCTGTTGTTGGACCAGTCAGCTGTTGCTGAATCAGTCAGCTGCTGCTGCACCATGATCAGCTGTTGCTGGACCAGTCAGCTGTTGCTGCATTAGTCAGCTGCTGCTGCACCACGATCAGCTGTTGCTGGACCAGTCAGCTGTTGCTGGATCAGTTAGCTGCTGCTGCACCACGATCAGCTGTTGCTGGATCAGTCAGCTGTTGCTGGACCAGTCAGCTGTTGCTGGATCAGTCAGCTGTTGCTGGATCAGTCAACTGTTGCTGGACCAGTCAGCTGTTGCTGGATCAGTCAGCTGTTGCTGGATCAGTCAGCTGTTGCTGGATCAGTCAGCTGTTGCTGGATCAGTCAGCTGTTGCTGGATCAGTCAGCTGTTGCTGGATCAGTCAGCTGTTGTTGGATCAGTCAGCTGTTGCTGGACCAGTCAGCTGTTGTTGGATCAGTCAGCATGTTGCTGGATCAGTCAGCTGTTGCTGGATCAGTCAGCTGTTGCTGGACCAGTCAGCT